GGGCGATCACCGGAGGGGGCAGGATCCCTGGGATGATTGCGGTGAGCCCCCGGCCCTCGGTTACCTTTGTCTTCTGGCCGAGGGCGTTGCTGGTCTGGGACATGGTGGCATTTCTCCACCTCCTCGGCCTCGGCGTACCGGTCCCCCCGCTGTAGGGCCCTTATATAATCGGGGGGGGGGGGGGGGGTTCGATGATGAGGCTTCTGGAGAAGTTCCCGGGGCGGAGTACTGTTTGTAGGAGGGTCAGGAGGGTCCCGTCGTCAGCGCCGTCAACTTTATCAGCCTCCGTCCTCCAGCGCTCCAGGAAGTCCCGAAGGGTCTCCTCCTTCTTCTGCCTCACTGTTAGTAAGTGGGAGAAGTGTTTTCTCGTGCGGCGCCTCCCCGCAAATTGCGTCAAGAATCGTTGGGTGAGTTCTTGCCATGAGTCAATGCAGCCCTCAGGCAATCGATTGAACCACTCGTAAGCTGGCCCCTCTAGGGTGGAGAGGAACAAGCGGCACAAATATTCATCCGATGCCCCCACCATCATCATGCTGTTTTGATACCTGTTATAGTGCTCTTGGGGGTCAGTCTTTCCGTCATAGGGCTTGATGAGCTGCCCTCGGTATTTCTCCGGGATCCGGGCTGCCAATACCCTTGGGGTAAATGGCATCCGGGACCGGAGCTGTATGGTGGGTTCTCCGGAGCCCTCAGCTATCTTCTTCTGCATCTCTTCCATCTTGGCCATCATCGCCTCATACTTAAGGTCTGTATGAGGGGCAGAAGTGGAGGCTTGGGCTTTGGTGGCCTCCATCTCGTCAAGCCGGCGCTGGAGGGACGCAATGATTTCGTCCCGGGGGTCCTTCGGGAGGGCCTCTGCCCCCTGCAAATGGACCCGGGCCGAGTGGGCCTGATTGATTTGGTGGCGTGCGTCGTCGGCATGGAGGGGTGCCTTGCCCTTGTCCTGAGGGGAACGCCTTTCATTGGCCCTGGAGACGGACCCGCCACTTTCCTGAGGCCTTTGGAACGCCTTCCCCTCGAGGCGGTCTTGGACCCCTCGGCGGTCTTGCGCCCCTCCGAGCCTCTCGAGGGCGGAGGTCCGGAGCTGTTCCTTGTTCACGTTGTGGCGGTCCCGGGACTGGACTTCCTGGGAGGCCGTATCTTGGGCCACGACCCCCTCGGAGTTCCCCATCCGGAGGACCGGGTTACCGAGGGGTCGTGGATGAGGGGGAGGCATAATATTCTCCCCAACCTGAGGTTGGTGGGGAACCAAAGTTCCGAAGGCACCCGGGTTCTGAGTGAGCGTCTGGATGAAGGCGGAGAGCGCCGATTGAACATCGATGGTGATGATCGGAGGGCTAATTTGATTTTCGCTCCGGTCCTTTTTCTTGGCCTCGATGCCGAGGCGGGCATCGGGGGCGTTTTGTTGAATTTGCTGGCGTAGGTCGACAGCCGTCTGGTCCAACTCGGCGATGACGCCGCCCCCGGGAGCCCTGTTAGAGGCTTCGGGGGCGTCGACCTCGCCGAGGGCCAGGTTCTTGTCCTCTACATTCTTGGAGTTGGCACGAGTTGTTCTCACCATTTTAGAGGGGTGTTTTTGTGTTTGGTCGAGGGGGGGGGGGGGTTCTTACTTGATTGTTCGACCTCTCAACGAGAGCACCAATTGATGGATAGTGTACCCGGGGGGTAGCTTATCCGAGGGGTTATTACGGGGAATAACAAGAGAGAAGTCAGAGCAAGTAAATATAGAGAGAGAAAGTATATTGTAAAGTGTTCAGCGTTTTCAGCGTGGTTACAAATGGGGAAATGGGCTGCTATTTATAGTAGCAATAAATGCTGGACAGGGACACGTGTCAAGCGTCCATTGGCCGAGAGGTCACCTCAACTGGTTGGCGCTGGCAACCGCATGTGGCCGCATTTAATGCGGCTGTTGGATGGGACGTTGTACAGGGTACAGTGATCTGTACGCATGTGGCGCGGATATCATGTCGGGAAAGGTGCCCTCGGCTGTAGAGGACTAGCCGAGGGCTCTGAGTACCGGGGACCCCCTTAGTGCCGAGGGCTCCCACTGCCGAGGGCTACTGATTTTCGCCGTTTTTTCCGAGTAACTTTGTTTTCCTGTCTTGGCCCTCTTGTGAGAGTTAGAGCCTTCGACCAGGGGGGTGAAGGCACCCCTGGTGCGCATTGTGGGCTGCTTGGTACTCTGGACGCTGTGATTTGGGCCTGTTGTGCTCTCTGGGCCTGTTGGGCTTTTATTGGAGTAGTAGGAGTCTGTGGGCCAAAAATTAGAGCTCGATTTGATCCCGCTTTAAGTTCAGTCTAGGTACCAGGCAGTCCAGACTCAATCCATCCCTAGTGTAGACCTGGTCCCCTGCCACTAGGCCCGGTCCGCCCCTCTTTACATCAAAACAAGGTGACCGTGAGTTTTGGCCAGATTAAGTTCTTGGCTTTGACACGGTCATCACGGTGGCCTTGGCCGTGATAGCGGCTGCTGGGCTTGGTGGTTGGACAGTTGGTTATGTTTTTATTATACAAAGTAATCAATATAATAATACTAAAATAATATGGAGCATTAAACACATATTCTTTTTATTATATGGAGTATAATACAGAACATGATTAATCGCTTTTTTGGATAACTCAAAACAAGTCATATTTTGTCATTTCTTTTTAATTTAGTAATATTTGATGGATTGGAGTTTAAGAAACATGCTAAAATGACTTAATCCATTCGTCCCTTATAACTTTGACAGCTTTTTTTTATTATCCCACTAACTTTTTAACTTAAAATGATTTGTGTTTCCACTTAATTCTCTTTATTCTGTACAAACCTCATCCACACAGTTTTTATTTTATTAATCTTCGTATCGGTCAAACTTGTCAAAGTTTTAAAGGACGGAGGGAGTATAAAAGAGAACTTATCATCTAAAAGCTTTCGAGTATGTGGCTCAAAAAACCACGTAGAATGTTATTGTAATTTCATTCTCTAAGATTAACATACATAACATCAAGTCATTAATTAATGATGACAAAGAAGTTCAACAAGGTCCTGCAATATTTTCAGTCTCAGACTATACCAAATCAAATCAAATCAAATCACACTTAAACAAACCATATCAGACTTGGACAATTATAAAAAAAACACAGAGATTAGACATTTATCGACCAGACCAATTCAGACCAGTCCAAATCAGACTAGACTTCAATAGACCAGAGACTTCAATATACCAGATCAGACCGCATATTTCAGTCCTAAAGTCAAAGGAATTGTTTCAAAAAAGAACATAACACGAGTGAAGTACATAAATAAGAGTATTCATGTTTAATCTTAAAATATGATCCATTGATTCATTTAATCCTAAAAAAGGAATAAAATAAAAGTAGATAAAACTGACTGAGGTAGGAAACAAGAGGATGTTTTGAGTCTTTTGACCATTATGATTAGAAGACTTTTACTTGGACTTATAAGAAGGAATATTCCTGATACAATGGTTATGGAAGGTCCTATGAGGCAATCCAGCAAAGAACTCATTCATGCATCACAAATTGACCAAGAAACAACATCATGTGCCCAACATGTGATGCGATATGCATATCACTTAGCATGCAGGAAGGCAATATATCAAAAGTAACCCTCAAAGGCTCAAACTTCTGAAACAGAGTAACATGCCCAACAGGAGTATCATTTATTAAAGGAAAATTACCCAAAATAGGAGCAAATGACACTTGGAATTCCAAAATATGACTATTATGTTTTTCTTCCCGAAATAGGATTTATTACTGTCATGTATGAAAAATATTGTCATGATTGAAAAAAATTGTCATTAATTATAATAAATAATGTCATGTTAAATGCACTGTACTGCAACTATTTGACAGTAAATACTGCTACAAGATGACAGTAAATACTGCCATGTTAGTCCAATTTCAGGAATAAAAACAATGTAATCCTATTTTAGAATTTCAAACTTCATTTACTCCTATTTTGGGAAATCTCCATTTATTAAAAGATAAAAATGGCTCAAAATCATAATCATTATGGATGCCCAAATTTGTAGCAACGTAAATACGTAATACCAGCCATCTTAGAGCCAAATGAGAGGCTCAGCTCCTAGCTAGGCATGGAGCCGGGTCGGTCCCAGGCTCAAGCTCAGTGGGCCCCGTTCTAAATAATTGAAGCCCGCTACCGACCCATTTTGCTCCAGTACCGGTTCTGGTCCGGGTCCAACCAGTATCGGTCCTATATTGGTACCCACTCATTTAATTAAAAATAAAAATAAAAAACCAACCATTTGGGCCATATATGGCCCAGGCCGGTCCCAAAAATGCATGCCCAAAGCCCGACTCTTTTCTACCACGCTCCGAGTACCTGGCCGGTACCGGTACCAAAAAACCGATCCCTAGTCAGTATCGGGTCGTGCCGCCCGGACCTAATCCATCCCTACTCCTAGCTACACAACCAGTACCAAACTACCGGTAGTGTTCCGAATCGGTTATGGAATGATCCATAACCGGTAACCAACTTGGGCCAGTTTCGAGCATCAGTTCAAATCCAGCCCCAACTAGGGATGTTTTTACTTGGATTATTTTGAATCTAATACCAAATCTGATCAGACTAGACTTTGAAAGTTATAAAATACAAAGAGACCAGACATTTACTAAGCCAGACTATACCAATTAAGCCCATATCAGACCAAAGCTGTCTAGAAAATTTCAGTTCATTTAAAACCACTCTAAAACACTTCTCGTTCAGGTTGTGCACCCACCCAGTTCAACAACTAGGTAGATTCAGACTCATGTTCCTCACTATTGCACTAATAACCTCCCGCTAACATGACTACCCAAGTGTTCTAAGATTTATTCTTTGATCCTTATTGAATTGCGTTATGAACAAAATAACAATTCACCTTCAGTCTTTTGTAAAATTAGTATTAGTTTTTACAGTTTTACTAATGTTTCTAAAATTAGGGTAGTTGATCAAAGGACTATAATAATAATCAATGAGTGCGATCTTTAGTTTGAAGTAGATAGCCATCCTTCTATATTCAAGCCTGTAAACTAATAGAGCACAAAATTGATTTACAATGCTTATTTTCAATATATGAAAAGCATAGCCAAAAGTAATATTTACAAAAGTGACTTTGGAGCAACCCAAACAAGCTATGGTCTCAATCTTTTGAAATCCTAAACAGGTAAAATAAATGAGGAAGAACTTAATCCTAAGTGAAGCAAATTGTACACAAAATGTTGGATTGATGCATTCCTCTTGAAAGGCAACTACAGTATCCACAGTTACTTGTAATTTGAAACCAATTTATCTGTATGAACCTGAAAACAAAAATCAAAAGAATTTGATTCCCAGCCATAAACCTGGACATAAGATTTATAATAATAATTAAATAAAAGATTGTCCACATACCTTTTTCAGCTTTAGTAGATGAGTCAATCTTCCCCCAAAAAAATTGTTTACTTGTATGGTGCAAACAAAATGGATGAGTTTTGACCACCAAATCCAAATGAATTAGACAAAGCTACCTTAATATCCAGTTCCTCCTTTTTAGAGCCCACAAGAAACTTTGTGTCCTGTTTTGTTACAGGACGCTGTTAATCAGACAGCTTATGACCAGTAACTAATGATTGTAATTAATTTTTCATTTACCCCAGTGCCACAAAGGCTCCCACCTACGATGGGGTAAGGGGGGTCGGATGTACGCAGTCTTACCCCTATACTAAAGCATAGAGAGACTGTTTCCGGATGACCCATAGTGAAAATCACGTCCAAAATTGCATGGACTGCTGCTCCATAACAAAGAAGCGCAGACAGTTTAGTGAGCCATTTTGCTTTATTCCATCACAATCTCAAGCCAAAATATAATGAATCTTTGGCTCCATTGCAAAGGATGGAAAATAATGATGTAATGAATACGGAGAACAATTAATCTGATCTAATACACTGACAAGCCACATTGCCACTAGAGAAAAATGATGAAAAGGATAACTTATATAAGAATTCATACCACCCCTTCATCCGGGTTATCAAGATTGATATTTGGATGAATCCACCCTGTCCGAATTGCCTGCAAGTATGCACATCATTTTTAGAGTGAGAGGCTCTTCATTGGCAAATAATATACAGCACTAGGTGTTTGACAAAATAGTTGATAAGCCAGCTACTAATAACAGAATAACAAAAATGATATGTTTAAATCAATGAAAAAAGGTTAAAAATATATTAATAACAAAGTAATGAAAATTATATCAAGATCTATACGAAAAGAAACTTATAAAATAAACTCGATCCAGTTTAAAAGCTCCATAACCAAACAAAACTTTTCTAATACCGGTAGGCAAACCACCAAAATCAGTAGGGTAAATGCCGGAGAACATTTACCAAGATTTTATTAATAAACAATAAAATACAGTAGAGAGGGGGCCAAACTAAAACCTCTCTGAAGATGGCATACCATCCCGAAATAACCAAACAAAACTTATTCAGAAAGATTCTTCTAAAAAAGATGTAGTAATACGGAGTACAAGTGACACTATTTTCGAATTTCAAAGTTTTGATCAACTATCAGGGCATTGATTCTATAGAAAGTAATCGTAAAGGTATAATATAATACAAAATGTGTTACTACTTACTAGCGTCCAAAGTATAATTGACATCTTATTATCACATATAAGCAAATTGACATATATTGCCACTCTGTATATTTGAATTAAAGCTACATTATAATATGTTTTAAGTTGTACATAAGAATATAACGTTAGAATTTGATTGATTAATATACAAGAGTTTAAAATATGTAATTTAAAAATAAGTAGTAATGTAAATTACAAAAAGTTTAATCTTCACAATTAAGTAGAAGTTCTATTTATTAATAAACCTCTTGAGTATAAAACTATTCCAAAAATAAAAAACATTGTTCGTGCCTCACTTGTGATGGTTCAGGCAGTATGTTTTTTCACAGTTTTCACATGCATGACAAAATGTACGTTGCTAATACTTCAATATAATACTTTGTAGAAAGACATCATCATTTTCATAATTTTCATTTACCCCAATGCCGCAAAGGCTCCAAACTACGGTGGGGTAAGGGGGGGTCGGATGTACGCAGTCTTACCCCTGTACTAAAGAAGCACAGAGAGACTGTTTCCGGATGACCCATAGTGAAAATCCCGTCCAAAATTGCATGGACTGACTGCTGCTTCATAACAAAGAAGTATATCATATATTTTTAAATACCCATAAAGCTATACTTCGTGTATCAAAATTGTTATGCTCTTTTCACAGTTGTCTTTATTGTTGACCAAAGTATCAAACTACGAGTATTATTTTATTTAAGACCTACTGTGTATTTTCATTGTAACTTTGTATGTTATTTAGCAAGTGTCATTGTCATGTAGCATGAGTGCTATACTAGTTTTTTAAGGAAAGATATGAAAAATTAATTTTAACAATTAGTCAATTACAATATAACTTTGTCCAATTGAACTTTGAATTATATGAGAATACATACATGGGAACTATACTAGTTTTTTAAGGAAAGAAATGATAGATTAATTTGCACAAGTAAATTGTAAATTTGTCCAATGGAACATTGAATTATATGAGACTCCATATTTCTTAAACTTGCACTCTTAGGAGTTTAGAACCTTATAAGTGCCAAGCTCCCTGCTGAAAATTGTGTTGTGCACAAGAGAAAAGAATGTTTTCTCACACATTGCACGACAAATTTACAAGAAACTATATAGATTATGGATGATAGTGTTGAAGGGGACATGGTGGAAATAATAAGAGATACAACATACCAGTAGTTTTAATACAGTTATTGTTTTTTGAGGTACATTTAAAATATTATTGTAACAGCAAGTATGTTGGGACCTGAATAGTTGCTACAGCCTCTACAGCACCAGCTGCTCCCAGGAGATGACCAGTCATAGATTTTGAAGAGTTTATCCGCAACTGCATGAAATAAATACATATAGTGGCACATACGGACTGCAAGAATATAGTTTTCCATAGATGAGAAAAGAAGAGAATTTCAAACCTTTGAATTCTGACCAAAACAGCGAAGAAGTGCTTGGAGCTCTTTGAGATCACCAGCTTGGGTCGACGTGGCATGTGCATTTATATAGTTAACATCATCCCGGCAAACCCCAGATTGAGCTAGGGCCTTTTCAATACAGAGGAAAACACCCTTACCTGCAAACAAATCAACAAATCTCCATGTATTTTTGTAATGATTCCACTTCATCTCAACATACCTAAAATGCGGAACAAGTGCTCAGAATAAGTGCTAACAGCAAGAGTGCATTTGGGAATTGGGTGGCTTAGGGAGTGTTTGCTAAAACTTAAAAAGTGCTTTTCAGCTTTTGGCTTAATGAGTGTTTTCAAATGACACCTGCTTAAGTTAAGCACTTAAAAGCTAAAAGCTGGAAGCAGGTGGAAAGGTGATTTAAACTGCTTTTCACTTTTTCTATTACACAAAAAACACTTATTTTACAAAACACTACCCACTTTTACTTTTTCAGAAGCACTTTTTTCACAAACACTACCAACTTTTACAATTAAGTACTTTCTCCAAAATCACTTTAAAAAATCACTTTTTTGAAGCAGAAGCAATCACAAGCATTCCCTTATTTTCAAGAGTAAGTGCTTTTACAGGATGAGAAGTACATTTCATTCAAAAAGAAGCATCTGGAAAAGAAAAATATGTAGTATGATTTATAATTAAACAAGCACTTATAATTCTTATCTAAGAAAACAGCATTTTGCTGCTTTAATAGAAAATCACTTATAGCACAAGTGCTTTTGGAAGGATAAAAGCGCTATTACGGTAAAAAATAATGTTTCAGTCACAATATTTTAGTTCTAATGAGTAGTCAAAAAGCACTAAAAAGTGCTTTAGAAATTAAAACTTGAGAGGCACTTCTTGCAGAAGCGGCTTTCATGATGCATATCATTAATGCATGCCAGCAAAACGCACTCCAATTATTCTATTTTCAAACTTTTTATAGAACCGCTTTTGTCAAAAACACTTTTAGCAGATGCACATCCGAATGAGCCCTTCGGTTATTTGACAGTGTCCGCCGACTAACGTTGGTGTTGGCCCTGATGAGATATATAAAACCAATCACTGTAAAATGATTAAAATATCAGCCAGGCGGGAGGACACGACAAAAATGACCTTCTGGATGAGGTTCTGTCATGTGATGAGCATCACAAGTAAAACTTCCACCAAGAAATTCAGCATAGATCGTAGCACCCCTTTTCTGGTCACTCAAATAGGAGAAGATAAAGGGGAGTGAGAAAATACTATTAAAAAACTCATTATATGTTCAAAGTTGAAAGTTTACCTTTGCGTGCTCCAGTTCTTCCAAGAGCAGAACCCCTGCTCCTTCTCCCATGACAAACCCATCGCGATCCTGCTTAGTATCAACATGCAAGTACTTTCAGTAAAATCTGAACCTAAATAATAAAAAGCCATTTTTTGGTAACACAGTGAAACTATAAGTCAATTTTAAATGAACCTTACAGAACAAAATGTGGAGAAACACCCCCATGAAAGACATTGAGCTTGCCACATAGAAAATGAACCAATTCAGTTTTAAACTGAACTCAGAAATATAATAGTAATTTTTGCAAGCATTTGAGCTGAGTTGGTCATTAAACCTGCAGTGCTCTCATCTAATACAAAACTAAAGCCACAGAAAAAATGAAAATGACGAATAATCTTACACTGTCCCAAGGTCGTGAAGCTCTAGTAGGATCATCATTTCTCCGAGACAGTGCTTTGCAAGCAATAAATCCGCCCACTCCTGAAATAGAGAAATATGAAATGTGGTGTACAATGGTACAGCCATAACTAGCCAAATCATTATATAATTCCAGGAAAATTAGTCTTTTATCCTAAAATTTAATTGTGCATCCCATACTTTGTGTCTTAAGATGTTCACCCTAGATTATCCCAGGGTGGTGTGAAAAGTAAAAAATAAAGGTAAATCATGAGGTGCAAAGTTCAACCAATGGGGGGAATGTCTAATGGAAAATAACCGGCTCTGGGATGTTCTTGGATGCATTAATGCATGGCTGCATGCAGAATCCAAATTCTTCAATAATTGCAAACACATAGGACAGTTACCAGTTGGTGTAATTGCTGAATCAGATCCACCACAAAGCATCACATCCTGCAATTTTTTAGAGCATTAAACAATTAAACAATATAAAATTCAATCCTTCAGGATATATTCACTGCTTCAAAGAGCATAAGGTAATACCACTATACCAGTAAACGCTTATGTCCTATGTTCACTTACAGCGTCACCTTTTATGATGTGGTTCGCAGCATTCACAATGCAAAAGTTACCCGTTGCACATGCAGTCGAGATTGAATAGTTTGGACCCATCCAGCCCTGGATGTATAAATTATAAACACTTCAAAAACTCGATCACTTGTAGCAGGATGAACAATCAGTTAATTGCATTTTAGATTTTGTTTAAGTTAGCTACCAAATCAATAGAGAGAATGGCAGAGCCCATGTTTGTAACCGAAAATGGTACACAGAAGGGGTTCATCTTCTTGTAGGAGATCTGCAAGGCTTCTATCGCATCATTGAAAATCTGCATAAAAGAAATATTAAATAATTAAACTATTTAAAAGTTGATAAGATTAGTGAATAACTGAATATCTGGTTTCTTGAGAATGAGTCTCATTAATCTGAAAATCTGCAAAGACCTGTGTAGTTCACTCTTAAATAAAACATCGATTCTTTGAGCAAACATTAAGAAAAGTCAAACAAACCTTTATGAATTTTTTATTCATTCAATCAAAATCCATCAGATAATCTACATTATTAGAACATGCAACAAAATAAACAACAAATCTCTGTAGGATCAACTGAATTTCTGAACATTAATTTGAAGAAAATTACCCTCATTCCACCCATAGCAGAGCCAATCAAAATTCCACACCTCGTTTTGTCCAATCCACCCATCACATCATCTGTAATTCCACCATCAAATAATGCCTTCTTTCCTGCTATCAGCAAGAAAAGCATAAACCTGTCCAATCTTTGTGAAAGTTTGGGTGCAACACAGCCATCTGTGGAGAATGACTTGATCTCTCCAGCAATTCTCTGCAATGCAAAAAAATTGCTACTAACAGAACGACAAGATTTCAATGAGGAGAGTTGTGAATAAAGAGCATACTGTTGAGTATTGGGAACAATCAAAAGCTTCAATCTCATTAATTCCGCTAACGCCTTCGAGTAGGTTTCCATAAAACTCATTGGGTTCATGACCAAGAGGAGATACAATGCCCATACCAGTCACAACAACTCGTCGTTCTTTAATGAAAGATTTCTCCTTTGAAACAACATCATTTGCATGATGTGTAGCAGTGGCCAATACTTTCCCTGGATCACATGAGTGCTGAAATTGTCATTTTTAGTTGGTGATTAATGCCCTAGCAATATGACACAAGGAAATCAAGAGAAATCATCTGTGACCTGCAAACTACACCCTCCGTCCCTTGATAAAATTAGTTCCTTCACCTTTATGGAGTTAAAGGAACTCTGATCTTTTTATCTTTATGATCTTTTCATTTTTATCCTTTTATCTTTTTATTTTTATCTTTATTTTATCTTTTTTTATCTCCGATTCATAACTCATATGTCGATTTATGTTAGCCGACACAAAACTCTTTTGAGGACTAGTGAACTCCAGCTTGAATGTAGTTGTTGGTGTTACTATTTTGACACTATAGTTACTGACTTACTCTTATTTGATGGTAGTAAAGTAAATTGATAAGATTGTTTCACCAAAAACAGAGGATTTTACTTAAAGACGACCCAAGAAATACATGGACTTTAAATAGAGATGGAGGGAGTAAAATGAAACATGACAAAGCTCTACTTACTTGATATTGCCTGAAGTTCACACTAACTATAACACCCTAAAGGGTATTTTAAATGCCCAAATAAACTACTTGTCGACCTATATTACAGTTTTGGTCTACATAATCAAAACTGTGAAAGTCCAATTTAACTCCAATAAAGTAAATGCCCAGATAACTTTAACTCCAATTTAACAGCTAACTCCAATTTAACAGCAGTATGTAATTACCAGAGCGATTGGAGCTATTGCATTGGAAGTGTGTACTCAGAAAAGCATGCTTCGAAGACCAAAATAAAGAAGAGAAGCCATTGAGAGCAAATTTGGATGTGGAAGTCCGGGCAGAGAATCCAGAGCTAGTAAGATTTAGCGCCGCTAAGGAACCCCTTCTCGTTTTTCCAGCACCACCAGTCCGGGAATAATCATACACTGACCTGCATTCCAGATTCAATAAAATTGAACAACGGCCGATTCGCGACTTCGCATTGCCCTTTTCGAAACCAACTGGCACGCATGCAGCCATCAGCGACGACGACATCGTCGAGGATCCCAACTCCTTCTCCTCTGTCTGATTCCCAGTCAAGCGCGCGCGCAGGCTCTTACTCTTTACTCGTTTGAAGTATGTAGTAGACCAGTAATGCAACAAGGAGAGGGAATGATGGGATCTTAATGTTATACGCAGATCAAATCAATTGAAGAAGATGAAGAAGCATTGTAATTGAGAGTAGTATAAATGATTAAATGGGATTATAGTTATTCTTCTCATACGTGAAATAGGAGACGAAGAAGACGGAGTGTTGCCTGGTTAGTGCTGAGCTCTGAAGTTGAAACGCAAGTCCATTTTCTGCGAAAAAACGGGAGAGATAAATTTTCATGTACTATAATCAGTTTGTACTCCTCATAATATACGTAATTAAGGGGTGTCTTAAAGGGATTCTTAGCGGATTTTAAGGAATTTAGAATTCCCTCAAAATTTGGGTATCCTCCGTATTTTTAAAACTCTATTAAAATATGGTTGTACTCGATTACTCTATGGATAATGGATTTATTTCTCTTGGATTTCAACTGATTTTAATGGAATTGGTATGAAAAATAACACTAATTCAATTCCACCAATTCCCTTTGTCTGACCCCTCGGATTTGAAATTCACCCTACTAGTTTGTACGCCTCTAAACTAATTTGGACCAGCCCTTGGGGAAACACGGGGCCTCCGCAACCTCCTCCATTTTTACATGTCCGTGTACACCACATATAAACCCTCTCTTTTAATTCAAATCCTCTTCATGTGCGCTAACTGATCTTCAAAAAGATCTCGTCAACCTCAGCCGGTTCCCTTCCCATTTGTCAATGCATCTTTCCCCTTCTCTTTCCTGCATCCCCACATAAAAAATCTAGCAAAATATCGTGCTTCAACCACCCGCTTCCTCCTTTGATAGTCATTCGCCATCGAACTCCTCTCTCCCTCAACCCATGTGTCTGCCCCAGGGGTGGATCCACAAACTTTGGCTATTGGGGGTATCCATTAAGAAAAAGTGATAAATATTTAGATAATAAGCACTTCATTTGTCTTAAAATGAAGTTCTCGGTTTTACCTACACACATATTTATGTAGGGGAAAGGTGCAAATATATCCTTTTAGTCTACATGTGGGAACAAATATATCCTTGTTCTATTTTTTTGGAATAAATATACACCTAAAGTTTATGTTAAAGTGCATATATATAATTAACCCTTAATTTTTAAAAGCTGCAAAAATACCACTCACATTCCTATAAAGGAGCAAATTTACGTTTATCAACTTAAATAGATAAAATAAATTTCACAAAGCACCAAAAATAAATTATAAATTTGAAATTGAAAAAAAAAATCTACTTGTGTCCAATTCTACCCTTTATTATTGTTATATCACAATTTAATATTATTAGAGTAAAATATTATTTCAAAATTTTACTGTATATTTGAGATTCTCTCGAAAAGTGTTAATATATGTGTTGCAATGTAAAAGAATCATTAATTTTTCTATTCTTTGCACTATAAAATTACATATTTTGTATGATAATAAATAGTTCAAGAGTGAACTTAATTTTATTAAGGTTAAACAAAACTAAAGAATGTTATTTCAAAAAATGTAACAGTGTGTTCAAAATTTCGCGAGACTAAAATTAATACTTGTGAATTTGAGGTGCATCATTTATAATGTAAAAATAATAATTTTGCAATTTAATTAAAGAATTAATATTTTAACATAAAAATAATTTTTAATTTTTAACTCTTTAATTTTTTATTTTTCCATTTCGAATTTATAACTTATTTTTAGTGTTTTTAAAATTTATTTTGTTCTTTTAAAGTCAATAAGGGTAAATTTGCTCATTTATAGGAACAAGAGGGTTATTGTTGTACCTTATAAAAGTTCAACGATATATATACACTTCCACATAAACTTCAAGAATATATTTGTTCCAAAAAATAGAATTGAACAAAAATATATTTGTTCTCACACTCATATTACAAGGTATATTTGTACATTTTTCCTATTTATGCATGATAAAGTTTTATTTTGACTTTTCAAATTTATCTTTTTTCGTTAAATCAAGCAAAAAGTAGGTAAAAAGTAAGAGTAGTTGTGTTTTTTGCCTTACAAAAAGTGGTTTCTTTTTATAGAAATGATAAGTTCTTTTTAGGACATCTATAAAAGAAAGTAGGAACTTATTTTCTGTAGGGATGTAGTATAAATTTACTTCAAAATTTTGATAATCCAATATGAAAAAATATATATGGAATATTAAATATTATTACGACTGCTCTCTCTAAGAGTTACCATTTTTTGAAAAAATCGTCCATAACAACTTTAATTGTAACTATATCATGCACCGAAGGAGAACTATTTGATACATTAACACTTGAACTTTCTTCAACATCGTGGCTTTGATTGAGTGGTGGTGGTGATTTTCTTTTATAGCAGGGGTAGAGCCAGTGCACTGGGTCGGACTGAACAGATACAAAGAATATTTTCGGGGGAAAAGTTACATGAAGTTTCTTACACAAAAAATATAAGCATTATTTAAATTTGGAGTGGGTCGGAGCCTATGTTGCCCCCTAGCTACGCTCCTGTTTTACAGTATCTTGATATCATTGTTTAATCTGTTCAAATATACCGAGTATAAAAGTTATAAAATTATACTCGTGAACTATACACGCTATAGTGAACAACATTTTAAACTTAAACTTTGAATTAAACTATTCATTCTCAAAGAAGAAATTAAATACAAATAGTAAAATGAATTAAAAATTAGCAAAATATACATCTGCAGTGAAGACTCTAATAGCAAGATTAGAAAATAGCAAATTACGAAGTACTACGTATAAATTAAAAGGGATATGCCTGAATTGAGTCAATACAAAATTAACTCAAATAATTAATTGAGTTCAGTAATATCATTGAAGTAAACTGATTGCATTGCTTGCTTGTCCACCCATTTTTTCACTCATTTTCTATAATTGAGTTAATACAAATTGATGGGGGCATGTATTTTTTGGTTGGGGGCACTATATTTTTTAATGATAATATGCATATGTAAAACATTAAAATTTTGGACTTCATTGGGGGCATGTGCTCCCCATCAATTGCTTGATACATCCGCCTCTGGTCCGTCCCTGCTTCAACTCACCAAACTCATCCACCCGCCCCGGACGCCGGCTGCTTCAACCCACAAAACCCATCCGTCATTCAGTATGTTCTTCGCATTCAGCGCGTACGTCTATGCCTGAAGTATGTGTACCATCTTTGGAGTTCCTTTTGAACACCTTGAAGTTCATCGCAATCGGGAAATCGTGTACTTCAACATCAGCTATAACTTTTGAAGAGCGGAAGCAAACAAAGCTGACGAAGGAAATGGTGCGCACAACATTGACAGAAATGGCACAAAGGTAAATTTCCGTTAAACCAACATATTGTGAACCCCTTTTTTGACGAACATGTATAATAACCTATTTTTTCTAAGTTAATTTGTTTTGTTGGTGTGGTTTTGAGATGTTTTCCCACTTTTGAGAGTAGAGTGTGCTTTTGAGATGCATGTGTGGTTTGCAGGTGTCTGTATGAATTTGAGATGTTTTTGTGCCTTGCTTATTGGATTCAGAGTAATCTATGGTGGGTTAGTGTGTCACTTGATAGCTTGATAGTTCTTCTTGTAATTCTAAGTTGTCTGTATAAACTGAGATGTCCGTGTTTGAGACACATATGTGTGCGCATGTTTTAGTGTGTCACTTGTTATTACTTTGTGCATTTGAGACTTATTTATATGCATTTATTGAGATGTCTGTGTTTTAGACACATGTGTGTGCATGTATATTTACTTCATGTGCTAGTGTGTCACTTCTTATTTTTTATGCATTTGAGACTTGTAGGTATGCTTTTGTTGAGATGTCTGTATGGATTTGGTTTTTGTTATTTGAGAGTTGTCTGTATGCGTGCTTTTGAGATGTATGTCTTTCTGAGAAATGTTTATGTGCATGGTTTTTTACTTCATTGTTGTGTATAGTGTGTTAATGTGTCACTTCTTATTAGTTTGTGCATTTGAGAGTTGTATGCATGCTTTTGTTGAGATGTCTGTGTGGCTTTGATTTTTGCTATTTGAGAGTTGCATGTGTGTGCTTTTGAGATGTCTGTGTTTACGAGAAATGTCTGTGTGCCTGATTTTTTACTTCGTTGTTGTGTATAGTGTGTTAGTGTGTCACTTTTTATTAGTCTGTGCATTTGAGAGTTGTCGGTATGCTTTTGTTGAGAGGTCTATGTGGCTTTGGTTATTGCTATTTGAGAGTTGCCAGTATGTGTGCTTTTGAGATGTCTCTGCTTCTGGTTTTTTGCGGAAAGAGTTGTATGTGTGGTAAGTTGCGACTTACGTGTCTGCCCAAATACACAGATTGTGTGTTTTCTAACATGTTTGTGTGTATTGATTTCAGACTCGAATTACAAATTCCTATTGTCGAATACTTTCCGGCCCAATACTCAGTATGCTATGATTTTAAAGATGCATTAGAACTGGTAAGAACGTGTCTGGTTTCTAGTGTTATGACAGTCATTCTGGGGGCATCTTTATTTATCAAAATGCACAATTTGATGAAGTATATTTTCCTTTCAAACCTTCCATATCGTCCATGATTGGACAATCTTCCATATCTTCTCTGGATGTTTCCTCGTTCCTGGATATTGTTTCACCATTTGTGGCATCTTCTCCTTCGTCTTCACCAAGGAATATTGTTTCCTCCTCTACCAGCACGCCAATATGTGGTCTATGTCCTGCTCATATACCTCCGGCAGTAGCAATCTCATCATCTCCACCCGACCAATCTTCTCTGGTGACTACATCTAGTGATTCTCTTGCACCCCCTTCTGAGTTGCCTGCTGCAATTATCGGTGCACCCGTCTCTTCCGCTTTGCCCATTGTTGGTCGTATGTGCACCCCCGATCTCAAGCCGGTATTTACAAACCCAAACACCTCCCCGATTTTACACCAACCGGCCTGCTTGCTGCCTTGATTCCTCAATCGGAACCGAAGGGATACAAATCTGCTATGAAGCATCTAGAATGGGTTGCTGCTATCGAAGAAGAGCTTCAATCAATCAATCCCTTCAATCCAACTCTACTTGGGTCTTTTTCCCTCGTCCTGCAGGTGTTAATGTTGCGGGTTCCAAATGGGTTTACCGCACTAAATATCTAACTAATGGTTCTGTTGAACGTTTGAAAGCCCGTTTGGTTGCTCAAGGTTATACTCAGCTACCCGGTTTTGACTATACACACACCTTTAGTCCAGTTGTGAAGACTGTCACGGTTTGCACAGTCATTGCTCTTGTTGTCCATCTTGGGTGGTCCATTCATCAACTTGATGTCAAAAACGCCTTTCTTAACAGCATTCTTGATCAATCTGTATATATGGGACAACCACCCGATTATCTTGATCCTCAGTTTCCTGATCATGTTTGTCTCTTACAGAAAGCTTTATATGGTATTAAACAAGCCCTCATGCTTGCTTTAAACGGTTTAGTGGTTATCTTATTTCCCTTGGTTTTTCATGTAGTAAGACCAACACTTCTCTCTTCACCTTCTCTAGCTGTTCTATTCTCTTATACCTCTTGCCATCTCAGCTATTTTTTAGGTCTTGAAGTTACTCATACAACCGATGGCTTATTCCTTGGTCAAGCGAAGTATGCTATAGATGTTTTAGATCGTGCTTTTATGCTAGACGCTAATCCAGTTTCGACTCCTTGGGAACCCGGGTCGCAACTACACAGTGCGAGTGGGGCACCTTATTTTGATCCTTCTTTCTACCGCTCTATTGTTGGGGCACTGCAGTATCTTACTCTCACACGGCCAGATCAGTCCTACGTTGTCAACCCTATCAGCTAATATCGATCTTCATGCACCTATACCTATGCACTTTTAAGCAGTCAAGCGTATTCTTTGCTATGTTAGGGGAACGGTCCATTGTGGCCTTACCTTCACTCGTTCCGCTTCTACGCCCACCATTCAGGGTTATTCCGATGCTGATTGGGATCGGTGTCTTGAAACTCGTCGGTCTACTTACGGTTATGCCATCTTCCTTGGGGACGATCTTATCTCTTGAAGCGCCAAAGAGCAACCCACTGTTTCTCGATCCAGTTGTGAGTCCGAGTATTGTGCTCTAGCCAACAATGCTTCTAAGGTTGTCTGGCTCATGCATCTCCTTCGTGATCTTCACGTTCCATTGCCTACTGCTCCTTTAATTTGCTTCTTTGCGATAATAAAAGTGTTATTTTTTTATCTCAAAACCCCGTCTCTCACAAACGTGCAAAACATATTTATATTGACTATCACTTCATACGAGAACATTTCTCTCTTGGA